AGTATTTAAATGTGTGTTAACCTGGGAAAAACATAACAGATATTAATGAAGTTTTGTATGTCCTGGTAGATAACTACTATTCTGTATCACAAAAATGTGACTTGCCTTTAAAACCAGAACACAAGGCTACCTGGATGGATGACTGGGAAGAGTACAGAAAATGCTGAATTTTAGTTTTCTTAAATTAGGTAGGACTTACTGTGCACTGGCAACAGATTATAGAACATAATAGGCTGAAAGATAAATTCTTGAACTTAATGTCTGGTCTTAAGAAGCATTGCTTGAAATTATATATCTTGAATTTGCTTCAAAATAACGGAGGAGTACAACTATTTATTAAACAAGATTGGCCTTATGTTGATTATCGTTGAAGCTGGGTGATGGGTATGTGAAGGTTCACTATATAATACTACTTCCTGTTGTATAAGTTTGAAATTTTCCATAATAAATTCCATTAGAACACTAAACATAGAAGTATATACTGTAACGCTATGAAGAGGTGAAAATTTGGAGCTAATATATAGCTGCATTTTCGAAGAACAGTATATACATTTTGGAAATAAAGAATTCAAAACAAAAAACCAGGCTGCTATCCCACACAGAGCCTCTGGGCGCCGCTGTCGGCCAGTGCAGAGCAAGCGCTGACGCCCAGGGTCCTTCAGTCCCCAGCCTGGGATTGCCCGCGCAGCCCACAGCAGAGACAAGGAAACAAGCTCACACAGGGGCTCCGGCAGCGCACACCCTGCCCCGCACACACGGATTCCCAGCCCCGACACTGGAGGCGCCGCCCGTCCTAGGCCGAATGCTCTTCCAGTGACGCCGTGGATTGTGGTTTCTTAGGCTTTCCAGAAAGACAGGGGCCGAGCGAGAACTAGAGCGAACGATGGGAGGGAGCTGCGCACAGAGGCGCCGGGCCGGCCGGCGGCAGGTACTATTCCCCTTGCTGCTGCCTTTGTTCTACCCCGCGCTCTGTGAGCCCATCCGCTACTCCATTCCCGAGGAGCTGGCCAAGGGCGCGGTGGTGGGGAACCTCGCCAAGGATCTGGGGCTCAGTGTCCGGGATGTGTCGGCTCGGAAGCTGCGAGTCAGCGCGGAGAAGCCGCACTTCCTTGTAGACTCGGAGAGCGGGGACTTACTTGTGAAGGACCGAATAGATCGTGAGCAGATATGCAGAGAGAGAAGAAGATGTGAGTTGCAACTGGAAGCCGTGGTGGAAAATCCTTTAAACATTTTTCATATCGTTGTAGTTATTGAGGATGTTAATGACCATGCCCCTCGATTCGATAAAGAGGAAATACATTTAGAAATTTTTGAATCTGTATCTGCGGGTGCACGAATATCCCTTGACCCTGCCACGGATGCCGATATAAACACAAATTCAATTAAAGATTATCAGATAAACTCTAACCCTTATTTTTCATTAACGGTTAGAGTAAATTCCGATGGTGGCAAATACCCAGAATTATCTCTGGAGAAACTCCTAGATCGGGAAGAACAGAGATTTCATCGTTTGATATTGACTGCCTTGGATGGAGGGGACCCGCCACGAAGTGCTACTGCTCATATAGAAATTTTTGTCAGGGACACCAATGATAATCCCCCGGTGTTCAGCCAAGATGAATATAGAATTAGTCTTAGTGAAAATCTGCCCCCGGGGTCCTCTGTGTTGCAGGTGACAGCCACTGACCAGGACGAGGGGGTCAATGCAGAGATAAACTATTACTTCCGGAGCACTGCCCAGAGCACAAGGCACATGTTCTCATTGGATGAGAAAACAGGTATCATTAGGAATAACCAGTCATTGGATTTCGAAGATGTAGAAAGATACACCATGGAAGTAGAAGCAAAGGACGGAGGTGGTCTCTCTACCCAATGTAAAGTAATCATAGAAATTCTCGATGAAAACGACAACAGCCCAGAAATAACCATCACTTCTCTCTCTGATCAGATTTTGGAGAATTCCCCTCCAGGAATGGTTGTTGCCCTCTTTAAAACACGGGACCGGGATTTCGGAGAAAATGGAGAAGTCACGTGTAACATAGAAAGAGATGTTCCATTCAAGGTTTATTCTTCTTCTAATAATTACTACAAGCTAGTGACAGATGGAGCCCTGGATAGAGAGCAGAACCCAGAATATAACGTCACCATCACAGCCACTGACAGGGGCAAGCCACCGCTTTCCTCCAGTATAAGCATCATCTTGTACATCACGGATGTCAACGACAACGCTCCAGTTTTCGGCCAGGCCTCCTATGTGGTACATGTGGCCGAGAACAACCCTCCCGGAGTCTCCATTGCTCAAGTCAGCGCGTCCGACCCGGACCTGGGGCCCAACGGCCACGTCTCTTATTCCATCGTGGCCAGTGATCTGGAGCCCAGGATGCTGTCGTCCTACGTGTCGGTGAGCGCGCAGAGCGGGGTGGTGTTCGCGCAGCGCGCCTTCGACCACGAGCAGCTGCGCGCCTTCGAGCTGACGCTGCAGGCCCGCGACCAGGGCTCGCCCGCGCTCAGCGCCAACGTGAGCCTGCGCGTGTTGGTGGGCGACCGCAACGACAACGCGCCGCGGGTGCTGTACCCTGCGCTGGGGCCCGACGGCTCGGCGCTCTTCGATATGGTGCCGCGCGCCGCGGAGCCCGGCTACCTGGTCACCAAGGTGGTGGCGGTGGACGCAGACTCAGGACACAACGCCTGGCTGTCCTACCACGTGCTACAGGCCACCGAGCCCGGGCTTTTCAGCCTGGGGCTGCGCACGGGTGAGGTGCGCACGGCGCGTGCCTTGGGCGACAGGGACGCGGCCAGACAGCGCCTGCTGGTCGCCGTGCGTGACGGTGGACAGCCACCCCTGTCGGCCACTGCCACGCTGCACCTGGTCTTCGCAGACAACCTGCAAGAGGTGCTGCCAGACCTCGGCGACCGCCCTGTATCCTCTGACCCCCAAGCTGAGCTGCAATTTTACCTGGTGGTGGCCTTGGCCTTGATCTCCGTGCTTTTCCTCCTCGCGGTGATTCTGGCCATTGCCCTGCGCCTGCGACACTCCTTCAGTCCCACCGCTTGGGGCTGCTTTCAGCCTGGTCTCTGTGTCAAATCTGGACCCGTGGTTCCTCCCAACTACAGCGAGGGGACTTTGCCTTATTCCTACAATCTGTGTATTGCGCACAGGGATACAACAGAGTTTAATTTCCTAAAGTGTAGTGCGCCCTTACATTCCACTCAAGACATAGTTTGCAGTGATTCTCCTGGGGCCTTTATTCCACCTCACGATGGGGATAATTTGACCTCACACCCTGAGACTCTAACATCGGTAAGTTTCTTTGTGATTTCTCTAATAGTCTACTGGTTTCTCATATTTCAAGCATACTACCTCGTTTTTGTATCTAGAGTTATATTTTTAAGACCCATAGCTAATTACCATCTTGTCTTCTCAATGTTTACTTTTTGTCAATTATATTTTTCAAGACTTATTTGGCTCGTAAATTGCTCTATCGTTTGGTAAAAGAATGTCACCAGATTGGAGGTATCTTGTCAAGTTCTGATTATGGAACAGAAGTAGTGTTCTTGTCTTCTAATAAGATGAATTGATAAATAACCTATCTAGTCAAATTTGCTAAGACTTAAAATGAATTTTCCTATGCTATTTCTATGTTTTTTAAAGCTTAAAAATATTCAGGCATTCCAGGCTGGGCCACATAGTGAGACCCTGTCTCTACAAAAAATAAAAAAATAAATTAGCCAGGTATGGTGGTACATGCCTGTAGTCCTAGCTACTCCAGAGGCTGAGGCAGAAGGGTGGCTGGAGCCCAGGAGTTCGTGGCTGCAGTGAGCTATGATGCTATGGTCATGCCACTGCATTACAGCCTGGGCAACAGAGCAAGACCCTGATGCTAAAAAATTTACATATACACACACTCAAGCATGCATTAAATGTCATAACAGGTTCTCATTTCAAAGAAATATTTATTGCAAATAATCTATTATGTACCTTTAGGTATCTTTCTTCATTTATTTTAATAGTTTTTTTCAAACTCTAAGCATTTAAGGGGAGTATGGTTGACAGATCCATGAATTTTCTGAAATTATATGCAAAGTTATAGATGTATGAATCTTTCTTGGGAGAGGATTCAAAATTTGTACCTATTTTCAAGGTTTCTATGGTCCCCAAAACTTAAAACTAACTACCTTAAAGAATTTTTCCCTCTAGTTTTGGTCCTTCTGGCTTCCTCTTTATTTATGGTCCTTACCTCTTCTTGGAGTTCAAATTGTGCTCTTTCCCAATCTCTTTCCCTCTACATTGCAAGATAAAGACATTTTCAAGAAATCAAATGAAATACCATTGTCTTTGCTCTCAGTCTCTGTCTCTGATTCTGTGATATAAGATCTTTGAAGAAAAAGGATAAAAATCTTTGAAGAGTTCCATACTTTGGAAGCATAGTGACATAAACACTTCTGAACAACTTTTTCTCTGTATGAAAAAATTAAACCTCTATATCCCTCACATTTGAGAGAAGAACTGCTGCTGGGTTGGTGGGCACACAAAATTGAAGATGTGTGAACCACTTTACTTTGGGTCTCCATGCAAACTGCCTACGAGAAGAGATTATTTATATTTGCATCAAAGTTCTGATGAAAACAGGACTTCTGACATAAGCACTTATTTATTTAAAACCTACATTATTATATCTAATTTTGTTTTTAAAAATTTTAGCACTTGAAATTCTTCTACATATTTCTCTTCCCATTACAATACAAACATTTAATTTGCAACCGCAATATATGTTCCTTTTAGTTTGTGATTATCTGCTCAATTAATTTAAATAGGTCAACTTAACTTCTAATAATATATGTTTATAAGATAAAGTACATTTTCATAAAAATATCCATTAAGGCTCAATAAAACTATTTTAGAAAAGAATATTTTGAAAAACTCTTACACAATCCTAAGCTAAACACATTTAATTAATTAAATAAAATTTAAAAGCTTTAAAGTGAATTATCTCATAAGGAATGTATCTCTTAATAATATGGTCTATATGAATGTACACTAAATAAAATTGAACTATTTAAATCACAATTTAAAATAAAATTGTAAGACTTTTCTGAATATTGCTAGATACTCCTAGGACTAAAATAAGCATTGTTTACCTTTTAACGTGGGTACATTTCCGTTGGTAAAATGTGTTGCAAATATAGATTTAACCAAAAATTATCATGTAATATTTTACAGCACTTTAATTCCATTTTATCTTACCTCCAAAAGAAACCTCCAAATAGTAATTGATTTAAAGATATGAGTGGAGAAACCAAATAATCAATGTAAAATAAAATAATCCCAGAGAGATAGAGTAGCGTTTGCTTTCTATTGCATATATGGTGGGTGCAGTAACTTCTTAGGACTCTAAGCGCCGCTGTTCACCTACTAGGAGAGAAACGCAGCCGGAGCTCAATCCGGATTCTCAGGGCTCCAACTACACAAAGCCCCACAGTTCCTACAAACCGGCTCCCGGGCTGCAGCGAAACTCACTCCGGAATTTAAGGTGCGCAGGCTACAGAGACACCCTGCAGCCACAGCAAGAAAAAGGAACAGGATCGAAACACGCACCGTGTCCAGTGAGGACTTTGCGAGAATTCCGTGACGAGACAACAATGGCCGCTCAAAGGAATCGCCCCGCCCGCAGCGAGCTGGTCCTGCTCTGCCTTTTCTTCGGGATGCCCTGGGAGGCCCGAGCCCGGCACATCTCCTACTCCGTTCCTGAGGAAATAGAGAAAGGCTCTTTCGTGGGCAACATCTCCAAGGACCTGGGGCTGGAGCCCCGGGAGCTGGCGGAGCGCGGAGTCCGCATCGTCTCCAGAGGTAGGACGCAGCTCTTTGCTCTGAATCGGCGAAGCGGCAGCTTGGTCACCGCGGGCAGGATAGACCGGGAGGAGCTCTGCGCTCAGAGCGCGAGGTGTCTGGTGAGTTTTAACATCCTTGTGGAAGATAGGGTAAAACTTTTTGGGATAGAAATAGAAGTAACTGATATCAATGATAATGCCCCAAAATTCCAAGCAGAAAATCTAGACATAAAAATTAATGAAAACGTCGCTCCAGGGATGCGGTTCCCTCTCCCGGAAGCTATTGATCCGGATGTGGGCGTGAACTCTCTACAGAACTACCAGCTCAGCCCCAATAAGCACTTCTCCCTGGGAGTTCAGAGCCGTGCCAGCGGCGTCAAGTACCCGGAGCTGGTGCTGGAGCGCGCCCTAGATCGCGAGGAAGAAGCGGTTCACCACCTGGTCCTCACCGCCTTCGATGGCGGTAACCCTCTCCGATCTGGCACTGTCCTCGTCAGTGTGACTGTTTTCGATACAAATGACAACGCGCCTGTCTTCACCTTGCCAGAATACCGAGTGAGCGTTCCGGAGAATGCGCCTGTGGGCACTCAGCTACTGACGGTCACCGCCACTGACAGGGATGAAGGAGCCAATGGAGAAGTGACATATTCATTCCGAAAATTACCTGACACACAATTGTTGAAATTCCAACTAAACAAATATACTGGGGAAATAAAAATATCAGAAAATCTAGATTATGAAGAGACAGGTTTCTATGAAATAGAAATACAAGCTGAAGATGGAGGAGCATATCTTGCAACTGCAAAAGTATTGATCACAGTAGAAGATGTAAACGACAACAGTCCAGAGGTGACCATCACGTCTCTGTTTAGTCCAGTGACTGAAGATTCACCTCTGGGAACTGTCATTGCCCTTTTAAATGTGCACGATTTAGATTCTGAGCAGAATGGACAGGTAATCTGTTCCATCTCGGAGAATCTACCATTTAAGTTAGAAAAGTCCATCGATAGTTATTATAGATTGGTGACACACAGAGCCCTCGACAGGGAACAGGTATCCTCTTATAATATCACAGTGACAGCTACAGATGGGGGAAGTCCACCTCGGTCAACAGAAACTCACTTTACCCTGCAAGTGGCAGATATCAATGACAACCCACCCACGTTCTCTCGCATCTCTTACGTTACCTATATCCCAGAGAACAACCCCAGGGGTGCCTCCATCTTCTCAGTGACAGCCCTGGACCCGGACAGCAAAGAGAATGCCCAAGTTATTTACTCCCTGGCTGAAGACACCATCCAGGGGGCACCTCTATCCTCATACATATCGATCAATTCAGACACTGGTGTCTTGTACGCACTCAGATCTTTTGACTATGAGCAGTTTCGTGATATACAGATGCAGGTGACTGCCAGTGACAGTGGGGACCCACCGCTCAGTAGTAACGTGTCACTGAGCCTGTTCGTGCTAGACGAGAATGACAATGCGCCCGAAATCCTGTATCCTGCTCTCCCCACCGATGGCTCCACCGGCGTGGAGCTGGCACCCCGCTCTGCAGAACCCAACTACCTGGTGACCAAGGTAGTGGCGGTGGACAGAGACTCAGGCCAAAACGCCTGGCTTTCCTACCGCCTGCTCAAGGCCAGTGAGCCAGGGCTCTTCTCGGTGGGACTGCACACAGGCGAGGTGCGCACGGCGCGGGCCTTGTTGGACAGAGATGCACTCAAGCAGAGCCTCGTGGTGGCCGTCCAAGACCACGGCCAGCCTCCTCTCTCGGCCACCGTCACACTCACCATAGCTGTGGCTGACAGCATCCCAGATGTCCTAGCCGACCTGGGCACTCTGGAGTCTCCCGCCAATCCAGACAACTCAGGCCTCACGCTGTACCTGGTTGTGGCTGTCGCAGTGGTCTCCTGTGTCTTTCTCGCCTTTGTCATTGTGCTGCTAGCGCTCAGGCTGAGGCGCTGGCACGCATCGCGCCTGCTCCAGCCTCCCAGAGACGTATTGGCTGGAGTTCCGGCCTCACACTTTGTGGGCGTGGACGGGGTTCGGGCCTTCCTGCAGACCTATTCCCAGGAGGTCTCCCTCACCGCGGACTCGCAGAAGAGTCATCTGATCTTTCCACAGCCCAACTATGCGGACACGCTCATCAGCCAGGAAAGCTTCGAGAAAAAGGATCCTTTGTCTTTGTTAGATGATTCGAAGGTTCCTATAGAAGATACCCCTTTGGTTCCAGTGAGTTTTATTTTTACTCTTTTCTCTAGTTTAAAAAATTATGATTGCTTTTACTTTTAAGTTTGCAGCATGATGATGGAAAATTTAAATATTTATTTTTGCGTCACTTTTCTCAGCTTCAATGACACTTGCTTCTTGCTAAAATATTGAAGAGTAGAATTTGATGGTTATTGAGGCTGACTTTTTTTTCTTTTTTTAGTTTCTGGTAAAATTCACCTAGTCCCAGTGAAGGCCTGTTGTCATAAGGTTGTTATGATTAGCTTTGCAGAACCTTATGGTTCATAGTGTTGTTGAGTCCAACACTGGCAATTCCTAAGAGAGACTTCCATATAGAAGTGTCTGTCAATGTGCTCCTGGGTGGCCACATGCTGAAACTCTAGTTCCTTAAACAACTCTAGCTCTTGTTTTGAAGGCAGGTTTGGTAGGAATAGGTAAATGTCAGGAACAAATGTATTAGCCTCTCTGGAAACACAACACAAATCCAAGGTTACTCAAGAGTGTTCTTCCCAAGGAGAACAGCAATAGACCTTTGTATATATGGTTCAAACTATACTTTGTAGTGACAGTTACATAGAATATACTTCCTAGAGAGATTTAACATTTTCATTAATAATTAATATTCAATTAACAATTCATAACTACATGTGTTTAAATGTTTCTGACCATAATCATACCTGGTAACACTGTAGCATCCTTTTTGCATATGGCTCTCTAATTTCATAGTGCTATGTGGAAGACAGAGAATTTTAATTTAACCTTCCTTGCTCAACAGGGATTCTAAAGAGGCTATAGAGGGTTAAATGAAGGACATTTTGGGTTCTGCTATTTGTCTTTTTGTTAAATTCTCCGATTGCTAAGGCTGAAAATAAATATGAAGTGGGGAGACAGATGAAGTTGTGCATGTTCCCAAGAACAGGAGCAAGAGATGTGTGATAAAGGTATTTCAGTGGCTCCTTAATGAAGAGGAAGGGATACACTGGAAACTCTGAAAACTCTGCAACTGAGGATCAAATTAAACTTAGAATCAAGAAAGAAATGCCATTTCTTCTGGAGATTAGAATATAAGTAGAGAAGTATGCAAAATTATTCTAAACAAATGATCAGTGGAGATACTGATAAGCCCATAGTTCAGTGAAGATAGTGTTGTATTTGGTTGATCTCTTAATTTGAATGTATTACTAATATTGTACTAAGCTTGGTAGCATAAAGTCAAAGAGCATTCTAAAGTTTCTCAAATAGTTATAAGACCATGACTTTTTTATGCCAATCAACATTTGCTCAATGATAGGTCTGTTGAAGGAGAGCACGCTTTTTAGGATAATACTTATTAACTAAAAGTCATTGAAACTATTATTTTAAATGTCTGCCCGTGAGATTGAAAATTATTATACCTCCATTTCAAATATTCTATTATTTTCAAAAATACTGGTTTTTAAAACACTACCCTTTCGACATTGTAGCCATTGCAAACAAATGTTAAGTACAATTATTTGAAAGCAATACAGGACACTGTGGATGATCGTAATGAATATGGCAATGGTTTCATTCCAGTACCTAAATATAGAAGGATTATACTTCCTTCCTATATTCCGAATGTAGGCTAGAATCAAAGACAAGTTTTTTGCTTATCTTCAGTACTTCCAGCTTCATGGATTACTTTTAAAAAATGAACAACAGTGATTGTCTCTGGATGAAAGAAGTGGATAGTAGTGGGCCATGGGAGAGGAGACCTATAGACCTTCCCTCTATATTCTTCTGTGCCTTTATAAATTTTGAGAAAAAATAATTTTATCCATTCAAAATATATGTAACTTCTTAATATATAAAAAGATATGACCGTTATGATCACGTGAAAAATATGTTTTGTTATGAAAGCGGAATCACTCAGGAATAAGACTCAAATATTTTAGGTATCAATTTGTATTTATTAAAGAAAAAAGATTCCTTGAAAGAAGAGAAAAGCCAAGCTGCGGTTCCACATGCAGCCTCTGGGCGCCGCTGTCGGCCAGTGCAGAGCAAGCGCTGACGCCCAGGGTCCTTCAGTCCCCAGCCTGGGATTGCCCGCGCAGCCCACAGCAGAGACAAGGAAACAAGCTCACACAGGGGCTCCGGCAGCGCACACCCTGCCCCGCACACACGGATTCCCAGCCCCGACACTGGAGGCGCCGCCCGTCCTAGGCCGAATGCTCTTCCAGTGACGCCGTGGATTGCGGTTTCTTAGGCTTTCCAGAAAGGCAGGGGCCGAGCGAGAACTAGAGTGAACGATGGGAGGGAGCTGCGCACAGAGGCGCCGGGCCGGCCGGCGGCAGGTACTATTCCCCTTGCTGCTGCCTTTGTTCTACCCCGCGCTCTGTGAGCCCATCCGCTACTCCATTCCCGAGGAGCTGGCCAAGGGCGCGGTGGTGGGGAACCTCGCCAAGGATCTGGGGCTCAGTGTTCGGGATGTGTCGGCTCGGAAGCTGCGAGTCAGCGCGGAGAAGCCGCACTTCCTTGTAGACTCGGAGAGCGGGGACTTACTTGTGAAGGACCGAATAGATCGTGAGCAGATATGCAGAGAGAGAAGAAGATGTGAGTTGCAACTGGAAGCCGTGGTGGAAAATCCTTTAAACATTTTTCATATCGTTGTAGTTATTGAGGATGTTAATGACCATGCCCCTCGATTCCGTAAAGATGAAATAAACTTAGAAATTAGTGAATCCATCAACCCAGGGATGGGAACAATTCTTGAGTCTGCAGAAGATCCTGATATTAGTATGAATTCACTGAGCAAATACCAACTAAGTCCTAATGAGTATTTCTCACTGGTGGTCAAAGACAATCCCGATGGTGGCAAATATCCAGAATTAGTATTGCAGAAGACTCTGGACAGAGAAACACAGAGCACTCACCACTTGGTACTGACAGCCTTAGATGGTGGGGACCCGCCCCAGAGCGGTACTGCTCAAATCAGAATCCTGGTGGTCGATGCCAATGACAATCCCCCAGTGTTCAGCCAGGACGTGTACAGGGTCAGCCTTGGGGAAGAAGTGCCTCCAGGCACCTCTGTCCTGAGGGTGAAGGCCACTGACCAGGATGAGGGCCTCAACTCCGAGATCACTTACTCCTTCCTGGGTGTGGCTGACAAAACTCAGCACATGTTCTCTCTGGATTCTACTACAGGAAACATCGTAACTCGTCAGCCCTTGGATTTTGAAGAAGTAGAAAGATATACAATGAGTGTAGAAGCAAAGGACAGAGGATCTCTCTCAACACAGTGTAAAGTAATTATAGACGTTCTAGATGCAAACGACAACAGCCCAGAAATAATCATCACTTCTCTCTCTGATCAGATTTCAGAGGATTCCCTTCCAGGAATTGCCGTGGCTCTCTTCAAAACCCGGGACCGAGATTCTGGGGAAAATGGAGAAGTCAGGTGTAGTTTAAGTAGAGACGTTCCATTTAAGATTCATTCTTCTTCTAATTATTACTACAAGCTGGTAACAGATGGGGCCCTTGACCGGGAGCAGACGGTGGAGTACAACATCACCATCACCGCCACCGACAGGGGCAAGCCACCCCTCTCCTCCAGCAAAACCATCATCCTGCACATCACCGATGTCAATGACAACGCGCCGGTTTTCCAACAGTCCGCCTATCTGGTCCACGTGCCAGAAAACAATCAGCCCGGTGCCTCTATAGCTCAGGTCAGTGCCTCTGACCCTGACTTTGGGCCCAATGGTCGCGTCTCCTATTCTATCCTTGCCAGCGGCCTAGAGCTGTCGTCCTACGTGTCGGTGAGCGCGCAGAGCGGGGTGGTGTTCGCGCAGCGCGCCTTCGACCACGAGCAGCTGCGCGCCTTCGAGCTGACGCTGCAGGCCCGCGACCAGGGCTCGCCCGCGCTCAGCGCCAACGTGAGCCTGCGCGTGTTGGTGGGCGACCGCAATGACAACGCGCCTCGGGTGCTGTACCCTGCGCTGGGGCCCGATGGCTCGGCGCTCTTCGATATGGTGCCGCGTGCCGCGGAGCCTGGCTACCTGGTCACCAAGGTGGTGGCGGTGGACGCTGACTCAGGACACAACGCCTGGCTGTCCTACCACGTGCTGCAGGCCAGCGAGCCCGGGCTCTTCAGCCTGGGGCTGCGCACGGGTGAGGTGCGCACGGCGCGTGTCTTGGGCGACAGGGACGCGGCCCGACAGCGCCTGCTGGTCGCTGTGCGTGATGGTGGACAGCCGCCACTCTCAGCCACTGCCACACTGCACCTGGTCTTCGCGGACAGCCTGCAGGAATTACTGCCAGACCTCAGTGATGGTCCTGTGCCCTCTGATCCCCAGTCGGAGCTGCAGTTTTACCTGGTCGTGGCTTTGGCCTTGATCTCTGTGCTCTTTCTCCTCGCGGTGATTCTGGCCATTGCCCTTCGCCTGCGACGTTCCTCCAGCCCTGCCTCCTGGGACTGCTTTCAGCCTGATCTCTGTTCTAAGACTAGACCAGGGATTTCTCCCAACTACACTGAGGGAACTTTGCCTTATTCCTACAATCTGTACGTTGCTTCTGATTCTGGAAAAACAACGTTTAATTTTCTCACCATGACGCCAGAAATGGTTCCTCCACAAGACCTTTCTAATGAAGCTTCTTTGGTAATGAGTTTCACTGAAGAGAATAACAAGGAAAGCTCTGACTCCGTTTCTTCTACTCACGTGAGTTTCTATGAATGTGTTTCATTTGCAAATAGATTTGGTTTAATTTTCAAACCAATATTTTGGCAAGAAAATTTTAAACATATCTACTATTGCTTCAGGTTTGTTTGCGTTTGCCCACTCGATATTTTCTGTTCCTATCTGTGTGGACTAGTAACTTCATTATTAGGGTTCGAGTATTCTGAGATTTTTTTATACACATACACACAACTACTGTAAGAAGTGGGCATTCCAATACCGCTGTCATTCAAATATTTTTAATTGGAATATATATTTTTTTCTTTCTTTAAGTGTTTCTTGGGACATTCATATCTTAAGTATATAAGGGTTTTTTTTTTTTTTTTGCTCTATTACCTATAGAGCAAATTTACCTCTATAAATTGAGAGGAAAATTTGTGAAGAAAAGGCATTTTTTAAAAAGAGATAGTGTCTCCATATGTTGCCCAGGCTGGACTTGACCTCCCTGGCTCAAGGTATCCTCCTGCCTCAGCCTCAGGAGTAGCTGAAAGTATATGAGCCTGTCACCATGCTCATCTGGGAAAAGGCTTAAGGAAAAAAGAAAGAAAGAAAGAACATGGTAATGATTTGATAATAATTTTCTGGTGTGTTCAGTACTGATTCGTGGAATCTTTCTGATTCCAATCTCTCTGAGCAAGCTCAATTATATGTCTGATCTTTTCTCATATCTACATGTAGATTTCCTCCCAATTTTAAATATATTATTTGTGCCTATCAAATGTGTTTATCCTCAGAATATAAATATTTATACTCATGAAAGTGCAGTAGCCAGTTATTTCTTAGGGAGAATTTTTTTCTATATTTTGATGTTTTCCCAAAGGTATTACCAGTAATTCTCAGTAATTGGAATTTGGTCGGTTACCTGGGAAAAGGTAAGTTTAAAATATTCTTTGGATTACTAATTTTATTTTAGTAAGTCTTCCTCAACACTAAACATTTTTTGAAATATAGTGTAGTAATAGATTTGTGGGGTACTACCATTATTTCCAGTCAATGCAAGTTGGAATGCTTCCATTTTATTCCAAGAAATTTAAAGTTTCTTCTTCACTTGAATTTTGATTCTGATAATGTGTATAATCACATTTCCCATTTTTAGGTTTCCATATTATCATGAAAATTTGATTTTTAAGTGTTAAATGTCAACAACCTGGTAAATTCAACCAGGCAAATTCAAGAAATCTACTGAAAACTGTTTACCCTAAATTATAGCTTTCAGAAAGTTTAAATTATTCTATTCTATGATTTCTCCAAAAAGGAAACTCCTAGGGAGAAGCCCCCCATAATAGGTATGCAGGGAGGGAGAGTGATCTCAAAGCAGATGCACTAAAATTATAAAGTTAAAATTACTCCTTATAGAAATTTCAAACTTGTTTAAAAGCTCATTAGAAAAATCGGAATACACTGACAGCTACAGAAAACAATATCAAGAAAGTAGCTCTGTATGAAAAATTTAGGGAAATAAAAAGAAGCTCACTGAAGTTTGTACTAAAACAAATACTGTGGATTTCCATCCTTTTTTGAAGAACAGTAGGTGGAGCTATTTAAGGTATAAAAACCAAATATCCCTTCCCGAAGTGGAAGATTGTGCAGTAATTGGTTAGGACTCTGAGCGCCGCTGTTCACCAATCGGGGAGAGAAAAGCAGCGATCCTGCTCGCCTTTCACGCGCCTAAAGCACAAAGCAGACAGAAACGAACCCTCTTTGGGGCCGTGAGGAAACTGAACCGAGGAGCTCTGGACCCCTCACTGTCCGATTCTAGGGTCCGAAGAGCTGATTCTGACCTCCGTAGTCAAGGGCAGAATTGGAAATAATCCTGGAGAAAAGTGACAATGATTCCTCCGCCACTGCATCAAGACTGCAAAGGGCTGGTCCTGCTGGGAGTGGTTTTGGGGATCCTGTGGGAAACCGGATGCACCCAGATACACTATTCAGTTCCTGAGGAGCTGGAGAAAGGCTCTAAGGTGGGCAACATCTCCAAGGACCTGGGGCTGGAGCCCCGGGAGCTGGCGGAGCGCGGAGTCCGCATCGTCTCCAGAGGTAGGACTCAACTTTTCGCTCTGAACCCGCGAAGCGGCAGCTTGGTCACCGCGGGCAGGATAGACCGGGAGGAGCTCTGTATGGGGGCCATCAAGTGTCAATTAAATCTGGAGATTCTGATGGAAGATAAAGTGAAAATATACGGGGTGGAAGTGGAAGTGAGGGACATTAACGATAATGCGCCCTACTTCCGTGAAAGTGAATTGGAAATCAAAATGAGTGAAAACGCAGCCACTGGGATGCGGTTCCCCCTTCCCCACGCTTGGGATCCGGATATCGGGAAGAACTCCCTCCAGAGCTATGAGCTCAGCCCGAATACTCACTTCTCCCTGGACGTGCAAAGTGGAGCGGATGGTATTAAGTACCCGGAATTGGTGCTGGAGCGCGCCCTGGACCGCGAAGAAAAGGCCGCTCACCACCTGGTCGTCACGGCCTCCGACGGCGGCGACCCCGTTCGCACAGGCACCGCGCGCATCCGCGTGACAGTCGTCGATGTGAACGACAACGCACCAGCGTTTACTCAGTCCCAGTACCGCGTGAGCGTTCCGGAGAATGTAGCTGTGGGCACTCAGCTGCTTCTGGTAAATGCCACGGACCCTGACGAAGGAGCCAATGCGGAAGTGATGTATTCCTTCCGGTATGTGGACGACAAGGCGGCCCAAGTTTTCAAGCTAGATAATAATTTAGGGACAATCTCAACAATAGGAGAGTTGAACCACGAGGAATCAGGATTCTATGAGATGGAAGTGCAAGCAATGGATAACGCAGGATATTCTGCACGAGCCAAAGTCCTGATCACTGTCCTGGACGTGAACGACAACGCCCCTGAAGTAGTTGTCACCTCTCTCACTAGCTCCGTTAGGGAAAACTCTCCCAGAGGGACATTAATTGCCCTTTTAAATGTAAATGACCAAGATTCTGGGGAAAATGGAAAGGTGATCTGTTTCATTCAAGGAAATCTGCCCTTTAAATTGGAAAAATCTTACGGAAATTACTACAGTTTGGTAACAGACATAATCTTAGACCGGGAACAGGTTCCTAGCTACAACATCACGGTGACTGCCACCGACCAGGGAACCCCGCCCCTGTCCACGGAAACTCACATCACACTGAATGTAGCAGACACCAACGACAACCCTCCCGCCTTCCCTCAGGCTTCCTATTCCGTTTATATCCCAGAGAACAACCCCAGAGGAGCCTCTCTTGTCTCCGTGACCGCCCACGACCCCGACTGTGAGGAGAACGCCCAAGTTACTTATTCCCTGGCCGAGAACACCCTCCAGGGGGCGCCTGTGTCCTCCTATGTCTCCATCAACTCGGACACCGGTGTCCTGTACGCGTTGCACTCCTTCGACTACGAGCATTTCCGAGACCTGCAGTTGCAAGTAATTGCGCGTGACAGCGGAGACCCGCCCCTCAGCAGTAACGTGTCGCTGAGCCTGTTCGTGCTGGACCAGAACGACAATGCGCCCGAGATCCTGTATCCTGCCCTCCCCACCGACGGCTCCACTGGCGTGGAGCTGGCACCCCGCTCCGCAGAGCCCGGCTACTTGGTGACCAAGGTGGTGGCAGTGGACAGAGAGTCGGGCCAGAACGCCTGGCTGTCCTACCGCCTGCTCAAGGCCAGCGAGCCAGGGCTCTTCGCAGTGGGGCTGCACACAGGCGAGGTGCGCACGGCGCGGGCCCTGCTGGACAGAGACGCGCTCAAGCAGAGCCTCGTGGTGGCCGTCCAAGACCACGGCCAGCCTCCTCTCTCGGCCACTGTCACTCTCACCGTGGCTGTGGCCGACAGTATACCCGATGTCCTGGCGGATCTCGGCAGCCTGGAGTCTCCCGCCGACTCCGAAACCTCAGGCCTGACGCTCTATCTTGTGGTGGCGGTGGCGGCAGTCTCTTGCGTTTTTCTGGCCTTTGTGATCCTGCTGCTGGCGTTCAGGCTGCGTCGCTGGCACTCGTCGCGCCTACTCCAGGCTTCAGGGGACGGATTGGCGGACGTGCCCACGTCACACTTCGTGGGCGTGGACGGGGTGCGGGCTTTTCTGCAGAGGTATTCCCACGAGGTCTCCCTCACCGCGGATTCGCGGAAAAGTCACCTGATCTTCCCCCAGCCCAACTACGCGGACACGCTCATCAGCCAGGAGAACTCTGAGAAAAGCGAGCCTCTTTTGCTGTCAGGTGATTCAGTATTTTCTAAAGACAATCATGCATTTATTCAGGTGAGTCCTTATCAAATAGTCTTCTCTGAGCTTGGAGGAAAATATCCCTTAGTATAGATAATTCGTGTATATTTGGAATTTATAAAGCAAACATCAATAAATTTACGTACATGTGGCAGAGGCCAACAGCCCAGTCACCTTCCCTCAAGCCTTATTTATAACAATTTATATATTATTATGTATATTTCTATAAAATAGGTATATATTCATAAACAATTTATAAAGTACTTTGTTAATATTGTATGTCATTTTCTAGTTTAATTTATTAGCTATAATACTGTTTTCCTGCTTTTAATTTTTTGTCTCATTGACCATGCAGCAGTTTTGTGTAGAGCATCTGATGCCAATTTATCTGTTTATCTAGAGGGGAGAAATCTAATTAAATGGAACATACAAGTGAAAATTTTAGTTAACCTTTATAAATACTGTGGCTTTTAATTACTTGAGATTGCTAGCAAATTCATAAGGTACATTTAGTCTCTTTGAAAGTGTAGTAATTCTTTCTAGCCATTAGGGATACATCTGTTTAACTTTTCTCAGTGTCCTAAGTCATTTCATGGCTTTAAATCATTCATGAACTTCCAAATATGGTGAGTTTATTTCTTACACATTAAAAACTTTCTCACTGAAATATACAATATACTGTATGTTTTGTCATGAGGAAAAATTGTAAAGATTTTTTTTATTTTCACCCTATTATGCATTTCAGTAATACAATATCTATATATGTTTCCAAGTTAGACATTTCTTTTGCTCACTTTACCTGTACTGATGATATTAATGACTTTGTGGAATATTGAGAATTAACAAAAATGTGTTTTGAGTGCTTTTTGGTGCTGTGGCAAATTTGCAGTAATTCCGTCTGCTTTCTGTATTGAATTCCCTGTAACTTTTACAAATATGGGAAAATTTTTGGAAAGTGCACATATTCTAAGTGTTTCCTGAGAACCTTATGCATATTGTAGAGTGTTTAACAGAAATTGACTGCTAAAGAATATTACTCTTGGAAAAGCATCGCCTAATTGCTTTTGGTGAATTCTTTAAAGGTGTAGGGACTATAACATCCAAATTGTTTTTGTTTCTTCTTCGTTGCCTATCTACTTTCAAAAATACAATATTTAAAACCCAGGCTAATAAAAGAGAATGATAGATAACACAAGGGCTCTAAAATGAGGCAGTTACTGCTTCTGAGATCGGTTGTCACTTTATGCTGCTCAACAACCAAGACAAAAGGAAAAGTAGCTTGTGTGGTTCTACTTGTGTGCTATTTTTAAAAGGAAGTATTTGAGTTTATCTCAAAACACAAAATTTGGAGCCAGGCACACTGTGTTTGAAGTCCCACTATTTAGGGAGGCTGAGGCAGGAAGATCACCTGGGCAACATAGTAAGACCTCGTCTCTTAAAAAAAATAAAAAATTTGTGTTTACATTAAATTTTAAATAGAATCTAATAAATAGAGTGTTCTGTAAGTAATATTGAGAGAAGCAGAGGACAATGTATACCCTTCCCCATTGTCTTGTAGAAACTATCACAATATGTTTGTCAGTTCTCTCATGGTATGGTGGTCAATTCAAAATGAAAGACATAATAGGAAAACAGAAATGATTTGGGAGGCTAAGTTCACATGGTCTAGTTATGCTGATCTCTGTTCACCTAACTTGATTTAGGGACAAGTCATTGAGAGCTAGGGCATAAATAGTCATAACCCTCAGACTGTATTTAAAATATCAGTGATCTCAATGGTACTTCCAGTTTAAGCTAAATAAATAGTCTTCGTTAAATCATTGTTGAATGAATGAATGAATAAACAAATAAATGTGCTCTAGGGATTACTGACACCAATATTCCGAGTTTTCAGACGTATCATAGAAGGACAGTAGCTTTGCAATTAGGTAACCATCATATAATCTGTGTATATAAACTCTCTGAGCTTCAGCAAAATAGGACTAATCATATCTAATTCGAAAGGTTGTGGCGAGGACTTAAGGATAACATATAAATCATCTGGTTCATAGCATGTAATTAATCAACAGTAGCCATTTTTATGGTTGACAAAAAACGGATTCATATTTTCAATGCCATCATACTTGACATTTTATTGGGAAAAGTAATAATGATTTGTGTGCTTCTCCAGGTGGTACAATGGGATGACCTGTGGGTGGAAACAAAACTATTCTAAAATTTTTGCAAAAGCTAATTCAAAAATTTTAAGTGCCTATTGAAAAGTCAAAATTTTAGGCCATAAAGATGGGGGAAAGATTGTTTTATATGAGACAATTTTGCGAGTATTAGTTTTCTCTGTTTGAACCATTGTGTTGTCTAAAAAACCTGTTTTAAAGGAGCACTTTACTCCAATGGGATCTTGGGTGATTTAACTGGAAGTACCAAAACCTGAAGGTCGGAGTTATTAAGTTTTGGCCATATAAGAATTGAAGCTAATGGCTTAGCTTGAGAATATTTAGGATATTTATTGATAATTTAGGATTGATAATTAAGATATTTGTTGATCATTTCCTGATAG